ACTACTACTACTACTACTACTACTACTACTACTACTACTACTACTACTACTACTACTACGAGTACTATTACTACTACTACTACTACTACTACTACTACTACTACTACTACTACTACTACTACTACTACTACTACTACTACTACTAGTCTTCCTCTCCTCCTGCCCTCCTCACCACCCAGCCACTCCGCCCCTCCTCACACAGAGCCCCCGAATGAGCGTCTGGGAGAGAAAGACGAGGAGGATCGACAGCGTTGGTGTCGCCACCATCGTCACCGCCGTCGTCGCCGCAGCAATCGTCGCCGTCGCCGACGTCCTGGTCGCAGTCGCCGTCGCCGCCGCCTTCCACCGCCGCCGCCTTGTCGTCGCCGTCGCCGTCGCCCTCGCCGACGTTTCGGTCGCAGTCGCCGTCGCCGCCGCCTTCCACCGTCGCCGCCCTGTCGTCGCCGTCGCCCTCGCCACCGTTATCGCCGCCGCCGCCTCGCCGACGCCGCCGCGGCCGCCGCCATGGCCGTCGGGGCCGCGGCCGTCGCCCTCGGCGTTCCTGGGCTGGCCGCTTCGCGGCCCGCGCGGGGGCGGCGCCGCCGTTGCTGCGGCGGCCCGGGCGCCAGGAGAGCTGCGGGGCGCTGGAGCTGGAGCTCATGCCTCCGGAGGCCCGGACGCCGCCGCCGAAAGGCGGAGGAGGGGGAAGAGGCGGAGGCGGGGGGCGGGGGCGGAGGCTGGGGGGAAAGCCATGTTGACGTGTTTCGAGGACGAGGCGGGGGCGGAGGGGGGGGGAACAAGCAGCCCAAACGTCCTCGCGCCGCGAAAAAGAATCACGCCCTCTTCAACACAAGAACCCAACAACGGAAGGTTGGGAAAAAGCGTGGCGGGAAGCTTCTCTCTATTCTCCACCCTCTGGGGGCCCAGTGCCGGGCCACGGGACCGTCAGAGAACGGCTCGGGATGAAAAATCGGTCACGTCACAGGGAAGGGGTCTAGTCCTCGGGCGTCCACGTCATGAGAAATCACGGCACCACGGGCATGGCAGGGCAGGGATGATGATGATGATGATGATGATGATGATGATGATGCTGATGCTGATGCTGATGCTGATGATGATGATGATGATGATGATGATGATGATGATGATGATGATGATGAGCATGATGAGCATGATGAGCATGATGAGCATGAGGATGCGGATGAGGATGAGGATGAGGATGAGGATGAGGATGAGGATGAGGATGAGGATGATGAGGATGAGATGATGATGATGATGATGATGATGATGATGATGATGATGATGATGATGATGATGATGATGATGATGATGATGATGATGATGATGATGATGATGGGCCTGGCAGGGAAAAGAGTGGGCGGGAAAAGCCCGAAGACGGCGCGAGGCTGGCCCTTTTTGGCAGGTTTGGCGGCCCGGGCCCAGGCTTTCGGCGCGCTCGGGCCTGCCTCACACGCCCGGGCCCCGGTGGCCACTCGTCCCAAAGCGGGGAGGGAGGTGAAGGGAAAGGAGTGAAGATGCGAGGAGGACAGCGGCGACGGCGACGACGGCGACGACCAGATTCCTCCTCCTCCTCCTACATCACCACCACCGTCATGGCAAGATCGATTCTCATGATCATCATCATCATCATCATCATCATCATCATCATCATCATCATCATCATCATCATCATCATCATCATCATCATCACCACCGCAACAATCATTATCAGCAGCAACAATATCACGATCATCGCAAGCCTCATCATCATCATGATCACCATCAGCACCATCATAATCAATCACCAGCATCATCATCATCGCCATCATCATCACCATCCTCAGCATCGCAATCAACATCATCATCACAACCACCATCATCAGCATCATCACCATCATCCCTATCAGCAGCAGCATCAAAATCATAATCAGAATCCAGTCAGCCTTTTAGGAGTAGGTGGTTTAACGAATGTGGTTTTCTCTCTGTCAAATTCCCTCCTTCCCTTGCTCGGGGGAGGGACGTACCCATCCCCTCTACCCCCGTTCCTGGGCCTGGAAGTGGCGCCCAACGAAGGGTTACAGCGTCCAAGATGGCCCTAGATGACCAAAAGAAAGCCTCTGAGAGTGCAAGATGGCTTCCAAGATGGCTCAAAATACCTCGAGCTGGTTCAAGATAGCCTCCCACTCACATCTAAGAGACCGCAGGACCACCCCAAGACGGTTTCAGGTGCCATCCGAGCCCTCTAAGCACCCCCCCAAGAGGCCAGAATGGCTCCAAAACCAAAGGGAAATCAATGGTGAACGCCTTCTCGCGTTTTCGCTTTCGATGGGCTCTTGGAGCCTGAAGATGGCCCCAAGACGGCCCCCAAAAAAAACAAAAGGGATTCCAGAAAGCCCCAAGACAGTCCCAAGAGCGCCCAAGAGCGCCCCATGAGCGCTCCAAAAGGATCTCAAGACGCCATGTTTGAGCCTCCACGGGGGGGGGGGGCGTGAAGTTCCTACCCGCCGCCCCCCCTCTTACAAATCACGGGGGGCCAAAATGGCCTCAAGAGGACTCCGAAACCCCCCAACCGAGCCCCAAGAGGGCCCCAAGAAGGGCACAAGAGAGCCCCGAGAGGGCAAGAGGGCCTCAAGAAAGCCCCCAAGAGAGCCCCAAGAGGACCCCAAGCGAGCCTCAAGATGGTCCCACGAGACCTCCGAGACAACGCTTCCACGGCGGTTGTTACAGCGCACGCTTCTACACTTCCCTGATCAAGGCAAAACGCCTAGCGATCTTCTTCTGGATGGGCTGGTGGGGATACTTTCTGGTACGCGGGCGCGCGAGACGGGTCGAACGCCGGGCTACCAGGGGCAGGCTATGCCACCGGCTGCGGAAAACATGCAAAGAGCAGCGCCGGGTGCAAGGCGGAAATCAGGCGGCCAAAACGGCGCGAGGGCGACGTAGGGCGCCAGGAACGCGGGGACGGTGCCGAGGAAGACGAGGCAGGTGAAGACGAAGGCGGCGAGAGATGAACCGAGCGCCACGCTTACCCGGGAAGGCGGAGACGCAGGCGGCGAACCAATGCCCCGCAAACTTGCCGAACAGGTGGGACTTGCACAAGAAGAGCAAAGAGACCAACTCCGCGTAGTGGGCCAGTGGGGATATCAATCAAAGACAATATCGTCGTCGGCATCGACATCATTGGCATCGCCAGCATAATCGGCATCGTCGGCAGCAGCATGATCATGTTAGCGCTTGTCACAACCATCGCCATCGTCACCGTGAAGATCACAACCATCGCCACCAGCATCAGCATCATCGACAGCGGCACTAGCAGCATCATCATCATCATCATCATCATCATCATCATCATCATCATCGTCATCATCATCAGCAGCAGCAGCAGCAGTATCGGCGTCGTCGTCATCATCATGATCATCATCATCATCATCATCATCATCATCATCACCATCATCATGATCATCATCATCATCATCATCATCATCATCATCAACACCATCAATATCAGCATCATCATCATCATCAGCATCACCATCATCATCACCATCAGCATCATCACCATCAGCATCAGCATCAGCATCAGCATCAGCATCAGCATCAGCATCAGCATCAGCATTATCATCATCACCATCATCATCATCGACATCACAATCATCATCATGCTCATTACCATCATCATCATCATCGTCATCATCATTATCAAAATCAGCAGCATAATTAACAGCATCAGCATCGTCATTAGCACCCTCATCATCATCATCATCATCAGCAGCATCATCATCAGCATCATCCCCACCACCATCGCAATCATCATGGTCAGCAGCATGATCGCCATGACCATCATCATCAGCAGCAGCAGCAACAGCATCATCATCAGCAGCATCATCATCAGCATCACCATCATCATCGTCATCATCAGCATCATCACGCATCATCATCACGCATCATCATCATGATCAGCACCATAATCAGCATATTAAGCACCATTATCATCAGCGGCAGCAGCCACATCTTATTAATCATCATCATCATCATCATCATCATCATCATCATCATCATCATCATCGCCATCGCCATCATCATCATCATCATCAGCAGCATCATCATCATCATCACTAGCCTCATCATCATCATCAGCATCATCATCATCATCACTAGCCTCATCATCATCATCAGCATCATCATCATCATCATCATTATCAGCATCATCATCAGCATTAACATCATCAGCAGCATCATCATTATCAGCACCGTCCTCAGCATCATCATAATCATCGTTATCATTATCGCCGTCGTTGGCATCGTCATTATCACAATCATCAGCATCATCAGCTCCATCATCATCACAATCATCATCGTCGTCGTCATCATCAATCTCACCACCACCGTCTCCATTATCAGCATCATCATCACCGTGATCATAATCAGCAGCAGCAACATCATCAGCAGCATCATCAACATCATTCACATCAATATTAGCATCATCAGCATCATCATCATAATCATGATCCTGGTCAGCATCATCATGAGCATGATCATCATCATGATCATCATCAGCAGCAGCATCATCATCACCATCATCGCCATCATCACCATCATCATGCATCATAATCGCCATGACCATCATCAGTATCATCATCAGCATCATCATGGTCAGCATCATCATGAGCATCATCATCATCATCATCAGCATCATCATCATCACCGTCATCATCGTCATCATCATCATCATCACCATCATTATGCAGTTTAATCGCCATGACCATCATCATCAGCAGCAGCATCATCATCATCAGCAGCACAATCGTCATCAGAATTATCGTTATCAGTATCGCCGTCGTCGTCGTCGTCATCATCATCATCACCATCATCATCGCCTCCATCATCATCACCAGTATCATCGTCATCATCACCAATATCACCACCATCAGCATCATCATCATCAACATCCTCAATATCATCCTCATCCTCATCGTCGTCATCATCATCACCGTCATCAGCATCATCATCATAATAATCATAATCAGCATCATCATCACCACCATCTTCATCATCATCATCATCATCATCATCATCATCATCATCATCATCATCATCATCTTCATCTCCATCTACATCTTCCTTGCGTCCTCTGTCATCTACATCCCCCCCGCGCACGGGGAGGATGGGGAACGGCGGGGAAGCAGGAGGACGAAGGAGGTGGGGAAGGGGTGGAGGAGGGGGGCCGACGCCTCAGAAGTAATGTGACCCGAAAGGCGCCAATATGCATTCAGGAACGCACGACGCTCATCGTTCATCCGTCTCCAATCCCTCATCCTCCTCGTCATCATTCAGCCCCTCGCCATCCCACCTCGCCGCCACCCCTCCTCACCCGTCCTGCTCCCTCCCTCCTCCCCTTCGTCGCTGCCGCCGCCTCCGCCCTACCCGCCGCCGCCACTGCCCCCTCCGTCGCCCCGCGGGCGCCCAGGCGGGTGTGGCGGGCGCCAACGACGACGACGACGACGACGACGACGACGACGACGACGAGACGGAGGAGAATGGCGACGGCGACGGCGACGACGACAGCGGTGGCGGCGGGCCACCGTCGCTCTCGTCGCCGCCGTCGCGAACGCCGCCGCAACGGCCGCCGACGTCGTTGCCGTCGTGCCGCGTTGACGCTGTCGCCGCCGCTGCCACCGTCGTCGCGCGGGCGCCGCCCGCCCCCCACCCCCCGGTTCGCCGTAGCCGTAGCTGATGGTGGCGGCCATGTCCGCGCCAAGGCCGCGACGCCGCCCGAGGCTGCCGCCCGCATCGGCGCCTGGCGCCACGGGGAGCTGCAGAGGCTCCTTCCTGAGAGGGGCGGCAGGCGGCGGACGGGAAACGCCGGGCCAGCGCGTGCGCGGGCCCAGCGTGCGAAAACGGACCGCGTGTGCGAGCGTGCCGTGCCGCTGGACGTAGACAAGCGCGCTCCGTTACTTTTGAAAGTCAAAGTAACTACTCGCAAATGGCATGGATTCGCCGCGGGGAATCTACGATCCATTACATCAAGGCAAACGCGCGTTCTTCGAACGCTTGCAAATATGCATTTTGCGAATAATGGAACGCGCTCGATGCGCGCGGGCTACGCACGGGCCCTGCTGCAGAGGACAAGTGCACGCCACCGCTACCAGGGCTGGCCGGGGCAATCCTGGGCGGCGGCCAGGACGGTTGGTGCGCCAGCCCAGGGCTCAGCGTGGCCCCTGGACAAGCACGGAAGCAGAAAGACTGCCTTCCGATGGGAGGCGCAAACACAAAAAGAGAGAGAGAGAGAGAGAGAGAGAGAGAGAAAGAGACACAGACAGACAGACAGACAGACAGACAGACAGACAAACAGACAGACAGACAGACAGACAGACAGACAAACAGACAGAGAACAAAAAACGAGTCGGACGGAGAGACGCACACACGCTCAGCAGACTGACAGACAGACAGACTCAAAAAACAAACAGACCGACAGCCAGGCAGGCAGAAAGACAGATAGACACGACTGACTGACAGACAGACAGACAGACAGACAGGCCCGCAGACAATTTTTGATATGCGAGGCGAACGCGAACCTCTTCCGCTAAAAGCTAGGCGGGCTATGCGCAGCTTTAATTAGGGGGGACAGGGCAATGGAAGGCGGGGCCTCAGGCGGCCGGAGCGGGCGAAGCCCAGGGGTACAGGCGGTGCCGAAGTGGACGCGCAGGAGCAAGCGCGCCGCGGACAGGTACCGGGGGCGAAGTCCCGGAGGGTGAAGGTGAAGGTGTTGCCGTCGACGGCGCATCGCGAACACCAGCCTCCAGTGCTGCAGAGGGGGACGTGCCACTTGACCAGGTCGACGCCCAGGAGGAAGAGGAGCACCACAAAGGCGATGTGCAACGTTGTGCCCCCAGGTGATGCGAAAGAGGCCCGGGGTGGCAGTCCAATCCACGACCAGGTAGCAGCTTGCTTGAGGAGCGGCCACAGACGAGGGGGCCGTTAATGACCGACAGGATGTCGGTGGACTGCGGGGGGGAAACCTGCCCTGCACTGCCAGCGCGTGAAGACGGGCACCAGCCACACACGATGCGCTGACATCCGCATGCCGAAGGCCGGGCCTGAGCCGCGCAGCGCCATGGCGAGCGGGGCCGCCGAAGCGGCAAGATGCAGCGCCCGGCACCGGGCCGAAGCCGCGCAGTGCCGGGCGCTGCCGCCATGGGAGGGGGGAAGCGAGCGGGGGGGGAAGAAGCGAACAGGGAGGAGAAAGGCCGGCGCGCAACACAGGCTTGCAGACAAACAACCGCGCATCTAGCGCAGGCTCGGCCGTATCTACGTTGAACTGAACCTGAACGGATCCTGCGATTCTTAACAAATTAGCAAAGCTGTTCATGTTAATAAGTGGTCATGTGTGTAATGACATATGGTTCAAGGAAGGTCGCCAGAGGGAAAGACACCGACGCGGACGAGATTCGTCCCAGCGCCGCGGCTACCCAGCGCCGCGCACGCTGAGCCCCCGTGCAGCCTGGGCAGGGTGATGAACGAGGGTCCTAAATCCGTTCGGCCTGCGCGGGTGGCACGCGACAACTGAGTCGACGGCGCCCCAGCCACAGCGCGGCGCCCCGACCTGGGGACACCACGAGAGAGGGAGAGAGAGGCAGAGACACTGAGGGAGAGAAAGAAAGAGAGAGAGAGAGAGAGAGAGAGCGCGCGCGCAACAGATACGGACAGAGACCAATACAGAGAGGCACAGAGAGAAAGAGAAAGAGAAAGAGAAAGAGAAAGAGAGAAAGAGAAAGAGAGAGAGAGAGAAAGAGAAAGAGTGAAAGAGAGAGAGAGAGAAAGAGAAAAAGAGAAAGAGAGAGAGAGAGAGCGTGGCAGAGAAAGGGACGAGACGCGCCCCCGCGGCGGAAAGCAGGGAGACCAGAACACCCCACGAAACCGAAAAACATGTTTTGAGCACACTGTGGGACGATGTATGGCCCGACGAGACACAACGAGTCTGTCGCCGAAAACTTTGGGGGAGAAGCAATAACAAAAAACGCGCCAACGCTGGTCGGATCGCAAGAGTGAACGCCAATGCACGGGCACCCCTGGGGAGACCCCAGCGAGCGGACACTGGCCGGCGGCCCAAAACCCATAGGCTGGCAGGTCCGCAATATTGTCGCAGCGCACCAGCCCGCCACGTGGCCCGCCAGCAACGTGGAAGAGCGCGCGCGCGAATTCAAGCCGAATTGACCACGCAAGAAGGCCAACATGTTGAGACAAACGAAACGGACAGCTGAAGCCAAAATGGCGACGGAACCGAAGGAGGAGGAGGAGGAGGAGGAGGAGACAGGAGGAGAAGGACAGGAGAGGACAGGAGGAGGAGGACAGGCGAGGACAGGAGGAGGAGGAGGAAGGTGTTGCTCCTTCCTGCGAGCCCGCCCGCGAAGGCAGCACCAAGTGGCCAACAATCAGGCCCGCGCGTCGCTTCCAGGCGCGCGCGCCCGCCCCACCTGCGGGCAAGAGCGGGCCCCTACTGAGCGGGCGGCATGGGGATGGCAAGCCACCACTTTGGACGCCTGAAATGGGTACGGAAAGAATGGGTACTCTGCCCAACAACAAATGTTGTCCCAAGCCAACAGCGGCCGCTGTTGGGCAGGCGGCCTTCTGTCTCGAATGGACACAGGCCGCGGCGGCGTGGACAGCGAATCCTGTTCAAAATGAACAGGACTTGTTGTTGGGCATTGTACCCATTCTTTCAGTACCCATTTCGGGCGTCCAGAACCAGACCCTGCCCCGTTCCGCCAGGCCGGAAACAGCCGCAACCCAGACACGGGCAGCCCGAACACGGGCACCTGCCAGAACGGGCAGGGGGCCGGACCACCGGCCAACCCACGCCACCCGCCCCAGGGGCCCACCACGGCACGACGACGAGAGACAGCGACGACGACGGCGAAGGGGGGGAGGAGACGAGCCCCTTGACTCCAAACGGGGTACACCTGGCTGGGAGGCCAGGCCCCTGCGGGAGACTGCGTGGCCAGGGACCCCTGGGAATGGGGCCCCGCTTCGGGGGCCGTCCCAACGCGGGGGCTTTTACCCCGAAGGCCCGACGGCCCCCGCCTCCGTCAGGGGGCGCTTTGGCCCGACACCCCACTTATGGGGGCGCCCCTTCGGGGGCGAGGAGGAGGGGGAAGAGGAGGGGGGGAGGAGGACCTGAAGAAACCACAGCCATAGATGTTCCTGAAAAGCTCGAACGATTGAGGCATTCGCTCAAACACTGTCTGCAGACGGCCGAAGTGACCACCGAAATAACCTCAAAATCGCGCAAGAACCCTTCAGGATCGTCCCACTACGGCCCAAGAGGGCAACGATACGGTCCCAAGAAGGGTCCAAGACGGCCCAAGACGCCTCCAAGACCCTAGTGGGGACGAACTGCTCCTCCTTCTCCCTTTCTCTCCCCCATTTCCTCCTCGTCCTCCTCCTCCTCCTCCACCCCCTTCTCTTCCTCCTCCTCCTACTTTTCCTCCTCCTCCTCCTTCTCCCCCTCCATTCCTTTTCCGTACAAAAAATTATCCTTGTCGCACCCCGAGGCCAGCTTTTAGGGCGGCCGGGTGTTTCGCCTGAGACTTCCTCACCATGTCTGGCCCTGAAGCTTAAAAATGACAACTGTTTCACACATGGAGGGCGGGTGGTTTTCAAAATGTGGCTCTCGCCTTAGCGCCGCGCACATTCGTTCTGAAAAACAAGACTTTCACAGATTGAGGGCGACACATTTTCAAAATGTGGCTCTCGCCTTAGCGCCGAGTATATTCGCTTTTGGAAAATGCAAGAGCTTCACGGATTGAGGGCGTTTCCTTTTCAAAATGTGGATTTCGCCGTCGCGCCGCGCACATTCGCTTTTAATACTTACAAGAGTGTCACGGCTTCCCGTGGTCAGCGTACTCGAAATCTTGGTTTGGAAGGGTTCAGGACTATGAGGGTGCAACAGGTACAGAGATTCGCGGCGTTGGAATGGCGTTCTGGCACAATTCAGGATCGTCAAGACGCAACAATCAGGTTGATCCGTGGCGTTAAAATCCCGAGAACAATGTTTTGGCATGCTTCAGGTTCTCCAAACGGTTGCTTTCCAACAAGGCAGTTCCCTCAGTGGAAATGGGCCGCTGTATGGGGCCTACGAAGAGGGAGCTTGGAGGGAGGGTTTATTCCAACATCGTTGATGACTCTTGGATTTACACTGGTCCTCCTCCTCCTCCTCCTCCTCCTCCTCCTCCTCCTCCTCCTCCTCCTCCTCCTCCTCCTCCTCCCCCCTCCCCCCTCCCCTCGTCCGCCTCCGTCGCCTCCACTACGCCTTCCTCTTCCTCCTCATCCTCCTCATGCCCCTCCTCAATCTCCCCACCGCTTACTGTTGTATATCCTCGTCCAGCCCCCCCCCCCATACCCCCCTACCGTCTCAAGGCCAGGGGAAATTGTCGGAGCAGGCGCGATGTCAACCCGAAACCCAGACAACTCGGAATCTTGGCGGGGCGCCAACGTTCGAGCGCGAGCGCTGCCCACAAAGACGGCCAAGATTCCCAGTTGCCTGGACTTCGGATTGCCATCGCGCCTACTCTGGTACATTCCTCCGTATCCTCATCATCTTCCTCCTAATCCTCCCCCTCCTCATCCTTCCTCCTCCTCCTCCTTGGCACGCCATCGGGTAGGAACTGAAAAGTCGAAGCTCCGTGCACTCGTGTGCATATCCGTGCATTGTCATCAAGAGGCGAAGGACATAGTTGCTGGCCGCTCCCCGTCTCTGTTTGTGGTAGGCAATACCATTGCTGACCATCTAGCAAGCGTGGGAGCAAAGGTGTATAGAGTTCCAGAATGGTCTAGGTCCCGCTCAGATCGAGCAGCAGGCGTACTTGGCTCGTATGAGAATCCTCTTGAATACCCGTTAGACTCTTGAGGCTGAGCAGGCCCTTTCCCTTGAGGAGCCCCAGAGAGCCCGCGTTCGACACCCTGGACCCAGGCCTCCTGTTCCCAAGGTGTGTGCTGCGTGTTCCACCCAGCATGTGCTCTCAAAAAAGGTAATGCATGTCTGCCGCGAAGAGGCTCCACCCCTCCGGTTGCTCGTCGAACCTGGCTGGATTTGCCTTGTTGTCCGTTGCGGTTTATCGATGGCGTGATGTATGATCTCCCCATGGGCGTCGGGTGCACATGTGTGGGGGGGGGGCGCATGATAGTCATCGACTTAAGTCTCACACTGGACTGGGATTTGGTTATATGGCAGGCGTGGCAGCTTCGCAACTCAGCTGGTTGCGAAGCTCGGGGGTGAATGCCTCGGACCTGCCACTGGTAATCGTTCATGTTATCTTGAGAAAATCTCTAGAGGCAAGTGGTATAAGGCCTACACTACTTGTGAGAAGGCAAAGCGTGTCGCTGCCAAGTCGAGTTTTTGAAAGTCCACTCAATCATGAATCGGCACAGTCGCAATATCCGTAGCTCCGTAACTCCTCCTCCTCCTCCTCCTCCTCCTCCTCCTCCACCTCCTCCCCCTCCTCCTCCTTCACATGCTCCTCCTCCTCCTCGTCCTCGTCCTCGTCCTCGTCCTCAGCCTCCTTGTCCTCCTCCTCCTCCTCAGTCTCCTCCTCTTCTTCCTCCTCCTCCTCCTCCCACATTCCTCCTCCTCTTTCTCCTCCTCCTCCACCTGATCCTCCTCCTCCGTCTTCTCCTCCTCCTCCTCGTCCTCCTCCTCCTCATCCTCGTCATCGGCCTCCTCGGCCTCCTCGTCCCCCTCCTCCTCCTCGCCCTCCTAATCATGTTCCTCCTCCTCTTGTTCTTCTTAATAATAGCATGGTGCGTCGTATCAGGCGTATTATTCTTATGTATATTCGTTATTCGTTGCTTAGTATCGTCCGTGTTCTTCTTATTATTATGAGAACTGTTCTTATGGGTAGGATGAGTAGTATTCGTTGGTCTTCGCGTTGGCATCAGTATTTGTATTAGTGGTATTGTTTGATATGTCGTATGATTATTCGTCTTAGTAGTACGAGTGTGGTTAGTATTCTTATTAGTGGTGTTATGAATGTTAGTATTAGTAGTGGTAGTAGTAGTAGTAGTATTAGTCTTCTTCTCATTTATAGTAGTATCAGCCGTAGTCTCAATAGTATTCGCCGTAGCATGATTCCTAGTAGTCGTACTATCAGTATTAGTATGTGTTTGTGTTCGTCGTAATCTTATTACTAGCATTCCAAGTTTTCGTGTGTGTCGAATTAATATGCCTCGTCTTCGTCTTCGTAATAGTCCTCTGCGTATTATGATGTGTATTGTTAGTATGCTTCATATTATTATTAGTAGTATGGATACGCTTATTATGCTTCCTCTGAATATTGTTCATCCTCCTCATCATCATCATCATCCTCCTTCTTCTGCTCCTTCACATCCTCCTCCTCCTCCTCCTCCTCCTCCTCCTCCTCCTCCTCCTCCCCTCCTCCCCCTCCTCCTCCTCCTCCTCACCTCCTCCTCCTCTTCCTCTCTCGTCCTCCTCGTCTCCTCGTCCTCCCCGTCCTCCCCGTCCTCCCCGTCCTCCTCCTCCTCCTCCTCCCCTCCTCTTCCTCCTCCCTCCCCTCCTCCTCCTTCATCCTCCTTCATCCTCCTTCATCCTCCTTCATCCTCTCTCCTCCTCCTCCTCCCTCCTCCTCCTCCTCCTCCTCCTCCTCCTCCTCCTCCTCCTCCTCCTCCTCCTCCCTCACCCTTCCCCCCGTCGTGCGGGTCGGAGCTATAACGCACGTGCGCATCTTAATGTGCACCGCAGAATGGTCGATTGAATCAGTCCACTTGGTTCTCGGACGGCCAGTTCTTCGGGAGCCTCCTGGACGCAGATGGGAGGAGCCAGGATGATGCGGGAAAACTCGGGGGGACTCGTAGATTTCAGCGGCGCTTCTCTTCCCATAAGGATTCCTCTCCAAATCCTATATGAAATCATTGTCGTCTGTGGAATCCACAGGCGTTGCACTGTACCATCAGGAATCATTCTAAAATCTGATGTACAACACTGGTGCTCTGTTTCACACGGTTGTTTTGGTGCACACAGGCACCGTGGTGTACACAGGCGCAGTGGTGCACGCAGGCACTGTGGTGTACATTGGTGCCGTGTTGCACACGGCTGATGTGGTGTACGCAGGCGATGTGGTGTACACAAGCGCTGTGGTGCACGCAGGCACTGTGGCACACACTGGCGCTTTGTTGCACGCGGCCGCTGTGGTGTACATAGGCGGTGTGGTGTACAGAAGCGATGTGGTGCACGCAGGCACTGTGGTGTACACAGGCGCTGTGGTGCAGATCGCCACCTACATGCTTCTGCTACCCGTCCTCGGTCATTCCTAAGCATTCCCAGACGCCGCCGGCGCGAAACGTGACGTCATCGGCCCCCTCCCCCCCCGAAAAGACGGCCGTCATCGGCCTGGAAAAAAAACAGGCTCATGATAGCCCAAGACCAGCGGCCCCACAGGGAAGTCCCGAGGAAACGAAGCCCGGACAAGGATAAAATCTGAAAAAAATGCATACTCTCTGAGATCCGCCGGGTCTGGAAGATGTATCGGGCGCCGCGGCCTTCTCAGATCGTTCCGGAACGCTCTGAGAGCGTTCTGGAACGCTCTTGAACTGATGTATCCTTGTCCCAGCCGCGCCCGACCCGACCCTGTGCATGGTTAGTTTTCGCCATGGATCCACTTCTCATGGCCCTGGGGCCCCACAGTGGACCCCAGAGACCGAGGAAAATCTGGCGGATTAAAAAATGTTTCGAGCGATCCCCACCAAAGAAAGCGAGGCGGGATGCCAAAGCAGTGGGCCTGTCGGCCGCGGTATGCATTTGACATCCGTCCAAAGCACGAAGTGGTGCATCCAGGGACCACAGACACACTTTGGCTCTAGCGCCCGAGGCGTGCAGAGTGTGCAAGGCGGGTCGGGAGCAACCGACCTCGACTTTCAATCTAGCAACCCCAACCTGTCGGGTGCTGGGATCGGCGTGGGGGGTGCTAAGGGGACAGGGGGGCCATCAGTGAATGCCAAGGTTGGTAACATCTGGCCGAACCTGGCTTATAAGTGGGCTACGAATGCCGGGAGTGGCTTAGTGGGGTTAGGTGGCTCCGCTAAGTGGGCGGAGCCCACTTAGTCCCGATTGTTAAACCCCTAGACCATTTGGGGCGTTTGAGCCCGAGTGCGAGTTTGAGCCCGAGCCAGAGCCAGAGTCCGAGCAGAGCGATGTAGAAGGGTGTTGTTCCCAGAAGCGTCGATGGACTTGCTCGCGCATGTGCGTCGTGTCGGGCTGCATCGACACGGAGTCGGAATCGAATCGGATCGGCTGCGCCAGGATGCGCAACGGCGCCACGCAGCCAACGGGCCGTATCGGATCGTCTGAAGATCGCAGTCGAATCGAATCGGGCGTATCGAAATCAGCATCGAATCGGATCGCCTGGATCGAAATGGACTCTGCCTGAGCGACGAAAACATACGGGCCTTCCGCACGATGACACAACGACCTTACAGCGTGGTTTACGCGGGCCGCCAGCGTGGCACATCGCGTGGAGAAGAGGGCCTTACGCGGGATGCGGGATGCGGGATGCTCAAGCGCGAATGTCCGCGCAGTCGTACCCGTTTTCTTCCATCGTTCACATGCTGCTCGAGGCACAAGAGAAGAAAGCGAGGCGCGGGAGAGCGGGCAGACAGGAAATGCAAGCAGGTGGGGGGGGGAGTGGAGGGAGGGGAAGAGGGAGACGAGAGGTGGGGAAGAGGGGAGGAGAAGTAGGGGGAGGAAGAAAAAAGAAGATTCGGAGGAGGAAGGAGAACGCGAAACGCAATAAAAGGATGACGAGCATTAAGAATCAGGAAAACAAGAGGAAGGCGAAGGAAAACAAGAACACCTGCAACAAGAACCAGAGCGACAAAAAACGACCGAGAGGAAGAGGCGGAAGAAGAGGGCTTGGGGAGAGATTCAAGAATGGCCCGAAGAAGGAGAAGAAGAAGGCGGAGAAGAACAAGAAGGAGGAGAAGAAGGAGGAGGAGGAGGAGAAGAAGGAGGAGAAGAAGAAGAAGAAAGAGCGCCGAGAGGGGCCGCGGCGGAACGGGTCCTCAGCCTGTGGCCCCGCCTCCCTGGGCCCGGGGCCGCGCCCACCTGGAGCGGCATGACCGGGCGCCGAAGGGGCAGCGGGTGCAAGGCCGAGGGTTCCATCGGGCATGGCCCCCTGAAGGCGGATTTGGGGTGAAAAATGAAAAATGATCACAGGCACTGCTATGTTTGTGTTTATATACATGTACAAAAAGTAACGAAACAATAATCGACAGATCGTCCCCAGGCTATTTGTTTTGCTATGTGGGAACCATGCAGTAGCGAACCCTGGCTTTCTGACCCTCCCCGAAGGATCTCGAGGAGCCCCATGGCTCCGAGAGCCCCCGAGAGCCTTAGGTCGGGCGTGTCCACTACAGGCGGTTTGGGCGAAAAATCAAAAGCAGTCCAGAAATATCAAAAAATAGCCAAGAAATGCCAAAAATATCGTCCCCAGGCTATTGATGTTCTATGTGGGAACATGCCTCCTGTAGAGGGACCGGCCCGACTTCCGCCGAGGGGCGCCGCGGGCCGCCCGGGGGCGGGGTCTGGCGCCCGAGGGCGGCCGAGGGCGGGAGACAGGGCTCGGCGTAAACCTGGCGGCGCGCAGAAGTGGCTACTCCAGATTTCGTAATAAAAGGGAGGGGGTCTGGACCCTCCAAGACAAGCCATTTCAGACCTCCCCCGTGGGAGAACCCTCCAAAACATCGTCCCCAGACCCCCCAGGCCCTCCAAGATAGCCTGGAAGAGACCCCCCCCGAAATGAGACCCCCATCCCTTTATTACGAAATCTGGAGTACCCACCAGACCACACCAACCCGACCCGAAGACCCGAATTTCGGGTTGGGGGGGTATGGGCTCCATGTGTGTCTTTTCGATGTTCCCGGACCCCCCCCCCTCCACTGGAAATGGAGGGCAGATTGAGGCCTTCGGGTTGGGTTGGGGTGGTTTGGTGGGTGGTGAACAAGGGGGTGGGGGGAGGGGGAAGGCTTCTCGGAAGGCGGCTGCCTCCTAGAAGGCGCTGGCCTCCCTTCTAAGAAGCCAGGGGCGCACCGCTTCTTCAAGGCACACCAGCAGCTTCTCAGAAGCGCGGAACGGCTTCTCAGATAGAGAAACAGCTTCTCAGAAGCAAGCCATCTGCTTCTTAGAAACGTGCCAGGAACAGCTTCTGAGAAGCAACCAGAAGCTTCTTAGAAGGGGCACCCGCGCCTTCCAAGAACTGGGGTGCTTCAAAAAGCCTTCCCTCCTTCCCCCACCCCCTCTGCGCGTGGCCGATCAAGAATGTGTCTTCCTTGTCCCTTGCTCTGTCATCGTTCCGCTCCTGCTGCAGAACGCCATCAAGACGGAAGCCGTTCACGAAATCGCTGGAGCACTGTCCAGGTCGAGCCCTGGCGGGAGGTCCCCGGACCGCGCCGACGAGTCGGAACGACGATCGAAACGAAGCGGCTCGGCAGAGATCGGCAGCCAACGGACCATCGAACGAACCGCCACCATCGCGCCGGAGCGCGTCCCCCCTCGGGGGACGGGCGGGATGGGCCGCAGCCCTCAGAAACTGGAGCACTCTGCAGTGAGCTCACCGATAGCCGCAAAACTCCTGCCCGTGTGCGAGGCGGGGATTTATCCATATCCACCGCCCGGGAACCGACGTCCTGGTGCCCCTGCGGGCGGCAGATGTGAATATGTTTCGGCCCCCGGGGGCCCGAACATATCCATATCCACCGCCTGCGAGGTCCCCGAAAACTGATCCTCGAGACAGTGGTCATGTACAGTCGGGGCGTTGCCCTAAGGAACCCTAAATAAGGAACGAGGCCCCTTTTTCCCATAAGTTCAACCTCGATTTCCTATGGAAAACCTGAGGAAAACCCGAGGCAAACTTTGAAACAATCAAGGAACACCGAGCCCCTCCCCAGCGAAAAGGGCTCCCTCTTCAGCGCCCCGACTGTAGAAATTCCCGCCTCGGACGCGCCTCTCCACGGCTTGCTGCTTGCAGCAACGCTGCCGGAGATCGGCAGCCGGGTCGGGGGGGCTGCCTCCTCCGACTGGAGGGAGGTGGGGGGGCAGGGCGGCAGAGAGGGCAAGGGGCACTGGCACAGGAGGAGGAGGAGGAGGAGGAGGAGGAGGAGGAGAAGGAGGAGGGAGGAGGAGGAGGAGGAGGAGGAGGAGGAGGAGGAGGAGGGGGAGGAGGAGGAGGAGGAGAGGAGGAGGAGAGGAGGAGGAGGAGGGAGGAGGGGAGGGGGAGGAGGAGGAGGAGGAGGAGGAGGAGGAGGAGGAGGAGGAGGAGGAGGAGGAGGAGGAGGAGGAGGAGAGAGGAGGAGGAGGAGGAGGGGAGGAGGAGGAGGAGGAGGAGGAGGAGGAGGAGGAGGAGGAGGAGGAGGAGGAGGAAGGAGGAGGAGGAGGAGGAGGAGGAGGGGGGGGAGGAGAGGAGGAGGGAGGAGGAGGAGGAGGAGGAGGAGGGGAGGAGGAGGAGGAGGAGGAGGAGGAGGAGGAGATCGGCAGCCGGGTCGGCCGACAAGTCGGCGGGCCCCCGTGGTGGCGCCGTGGCGAGCGCACGGCGGGGGGGCTGCTCCACGGGCGGCCTCCGGGGGCCCCCTGCCGGGCCCCGGGGGCCGTCGGAGAGCGAGGCCGGGCTGGAGAGCCGGTCGGTCCCCGGGAGGATCCGGACCTCTCCTCCTCTCCTCCTCCCCCTCCTCATCCTCCCTCCCTCCTCCTCCTCCTCTCTCCTCCTCCTCCTCCTCCTCCTCCTCCTCCTCCTCCTCCTGCTCCTGCTCCTCCTCCTCCTCCCCCTCCTCCCTTCACAGCGTGAACTTTCCCCGGGGCCCACGCCACCAGACTCACGACGTCGGGCGGCCGAGCCCTCGACCTCCACCGCCCGACCCTTCCGCGCAGCAGGTGCTGCCGCGGCGCGGCCGCGGCGCCCGCAGGACCGCCACCGCGGCCTCGACGGCGGCCGCCACTGCGGCCTCGCAGGACGCGGCCGCTGCGCAGCATCTGCCGTCCAGGAGGTGCAGAAGGCGGAGGTCGAGGGACGGGGGGAGGACCCCGCGAAGGGGAGGAGGGGGGGGGGCGGGAGCGGCACAAGCGACGCGCGCCCCGGGGCCGAGAAAAGACTGATGCCTACGCGACCGCTCGGCCGCTGTGGAGCCTGGGGGTGGTGGGGCCCGCGGGGGGGAGGGGAGGCACAGTCGACGCGGGCCCCCGGATCGCCGAGGAGCCACAGCGCAGGTCGCACAGGCCACACAGATATCCTACGGGTCCCACAGGTCCAACAGACACCACAGGTCCCACAGGTTCCGCGGCTTCCACAGGTCCCGCAGGTCCTGCAGGTCTCGCAGGTCGTACAGGTCCCACGTGTGTCGCAGATCCAACAGATCCCACAGGCCACAAAGTCTTCCAGGCCCCACAAGTCCCACAGGTGCCACATGTCGCACAAATCCACAGTTCACACCTGCCTCACAGGTCCCACAGGTCTCGTAGGCCTCACGGGTCCCACAGGCCTGAGTTCCAACAGGTCCCACAGCTCCGACACGTCGCACAAGTCCCACAGTTCCCACCTGCCCTACAAGTCCCCCAGGTCCCACGGGTCCCACGGGTCCCACAGGTCCCACAGGTCCCACGCAGGCCCCACAAGTCCACCAGGTCCCACAGGGCCCACGTGTCACACACAGGCCCGAGAGGCCGCACAGGCTCCACATGCCCCGCAAGTCCCACAGGTCCCACAGGTCCCACAGGTCCCGCAGGACCTGCAGGTCGTACAGGCCGCATAGGTCCCACAGGTCCCCACAGGTCTAACAGGTCTTACAGGCCGCAGAGGCCCACAGGTCCCCTAGATCGCACAAGTCCCAAAAGTCCAACAAGTTCCATAGCCACAAGGTCTCAGGGGCCCCACCAGGCCCACAGGTCCAAGAGGTCGCACACGTCCGACAGGTCGCACAGGCACCACAGGTCCCACAGGTCCCACAGGTCCCACAGGCCCCACATGTCCCACGGATCCCACAGGTCGTTCAGGTCCCCGAGGTCCCACAGGTCTCGCAGGTCCCACAGGTCACACGGGTGCCGCAGGTCTTTGCTATTATCAGGGTGCTTTGCTGAGGTAGTGGTGCGATTGCTTTGTCGGTCGTCAGAGCGCCCGAGCGACCAAGGCGGCCCAAGAGGCCCCCAAGACCGCTCAAAACCCACACAAAGGGAACCCAAGAGGGCCCCAATGTGCCGCCATCAGAACAAGAAGTTGGCATGGGAACCACGCAAGGAGGAAGGGAGGGAGGGAGGGAGGAGAAGGAGGATGAAAACGAGGACACAGAGGACGAGAGTCGAGCCGCATTGCACGAAGCGGTCAGAATCCAGACCGCATCTCCCTGACGGTGCCCTGGGCCTCCCCTCCCTCCTCCGCCACGCCGCCTCGCCACCGCTCTCACTCCCTCTGCCTCCACCCCTTCTTTCACTCTCTCTTCTCCGCCCCCTCCATCGGGAGTGGGAGGAGGAGGAGGAGGAGGAGGAGCAGGAGCAGGGAGAGGAGGAGGAGGAGGAGGAGGAGGAGGAGGAGGAGGAGGAGAAGGAGAGGGAGAGAGAGAAGGAGGAAAAGGAGGAGGGGGAGGGGGAGCAGGAGGAGGAAGAGGATGAGGGAGGGGCCCAGGGGAGGGGGGACCCGCAGCACCACCTGGTGGAGCCCAGGAGGAGCCCAGGAGGAGTGCCACAAGTGGGGGGAGGCAGGAGCAGCCCAAAGCCCGGCGAAGAAAAGACCACCACGACGACGGACCGCCACGACGGCGGCCGAGGCCACCACGGCCAGAGGCCACGACGGCGACCGCGACAGCGACCGCGACCGCGGCACGGCGGGCGCACGACGCACGACCGAGCGGCGGCGGCCGCCGGCGCCGGCACGGGAGCGGCACGACCGGCCGCCGGCGCACCTCGGGCAGCATCGCCCCCTGGCCGCACAGCGCCCCGCGGGCGCGCGCGGCGAGCGGCGCAGTGCCCAGGCGGCGGCCGCGGCCGCTGAGCCACAGCGCGGGGCCGCCGTCGTCCGCCGTCTGTCGTCGCCGGTCGTGGTCCGTCGTCCTCGCCGTCGCCGTGGGCCTCGTCGTCGTGGCTTGTGGTCGTCATCGTCGTCGTCCTCCTCTTCCTCCTCCACCACCTCCCCCTCCTCCTGCTCCTCCTCCTCCTCGTCATCCTCCTCCTCCTCGTCCTCCTCCTCATCATCCATTCCTTTCTCCCTGTCGCACCTCGAAGCCAGCCTGAAGGGAGGGCTGGGCGTTTCGCCTGAGACTTACTCACCACTTATGATCCTGAAGCTTGAAAGTTGCAACAGTTTCATAGATGGAGGGCGGGTGGTTTTCAAAATGTGGTTCTCGCCTTAATGTCGCGTACAGGTTTTAACGAACGTTTTCTTATGCGACGTTTCGATATGGGGCGGAAGGGGGGGGGATCTGGCTTTGGACCTCTGCTTAGTGCGAGAGATTCCATGCGGGAGACTCCACCTGCTTGAAACAGGCGCCAAAAACATCCAAAATCGACTCCATGGGAGGGAAGGGGGTGCGAGGGCCCGTGCCGATCGGCAAAACAATGAATAAGACAACTATCACTCAAGAGTTTACAACAGTTCGGAAGAGTCCCATGGTTAACATACCCGAAAACATGCTGCTGCACGAAGTCGGATTACCAGGGCGCAACAGTTACGTTGATCCGCAGTGTTGAAGTCCTAGGAATGGCGTTCTGGTGCAATTCAAGATCATCAAGACGCAACATTCAGGTTGACTTCAAACGGTTGTCTCCCAACGTTGCACTTTCCTCAATGGAAATGAACCCTTGCAGGGGCCTATGAAGAGGGATCTTGCAGGGAAGTGTATTACAAAATGTCGTTGGTGAGTACAAAATTGGGCTCACACTGGTCCTCCATTCCTCTCCTTATGAAAAACTCCTCCGTGTCGCATCCCGATGCCAGTCGGAAGGGGGGACCAGGCGCTTCCCATGAGAATCTGAAAAGTTGGCAGCAATTTCACAAATAGAGGGCGGGCCGCTTCCAAAATGTGGATCTCGCTTTACCGCCGCGCACACTCGTCTTAAACATTACGAAAAGTTGCACGACTTGAGGGCAGGTGCTTTTCAAAATCTTGCTGTCGCCATAGCGCCGCGCACACTCGTCTTAAACATTTGCTAGAGCTTCACGGATTGAGGGTGGCTACTGTTCAAAATTTGGCTCTCGCCTTAGCGCAGCGCGCATTCGACTCAAAACGTGTCTGACGGTTTTACGCTTGGAGGGCGGGTCCTTTACGAAATCTGGCTGTCGCCTTAGCGCCGCGCACACTTTCTTTAAACATTTGCCAGAGAGTCCCACCAGCCCTTTAGGGCGTAGGTGGTTTAGGGTGTTTCCTCCTCTTCCACCCCCCTTCCCCTTCGGGGAGGGGTTTACCTCTCCCCGTACCCCCTCTCCTGGACCTGGAGGGGGCATTCCGCAGGTCGCCGGAGCGTCCAAAACGGCCTCGGCGAGGAAGCCAAAATCATTGGTTTTACTAGGGTGTTGGCCCCATTTTGGCCTCTTGGGGGGGAAGCGCTAATTGAGACCCTCCCTTCTTTGATCGATCTCTTCCGAGATGGCCCCAAGAGCGCTCCCAAGGCTCCCAAGGGTGCCCCAAGAGGGCCCCAAGAGGTGGCCAGGAGGCCCCAGGAGGCCCCCAGGATGCCCTCAAGAGGCTCCCAAGAGACCCCCAAGAGGCCCCAAGAGGCCCTCCAGAACAACAGCAACAGAACGCCGTGCACGTCTCCAGTACTACTGTTCTTAACCGAGTGCAGCGCATTCTGCTTTTGGGCGTTATGTTCGACCCTCAAGGAGATACCGACGTCAGCTTGGAACACCGCTTGTCTCAAGGAGAAGCATGTTTTTGGAAGCACAGCCGGGTCTTATCTGGACGTGGGCCGGTATCCCATAAATTACGTGCTTGGTCGACGGCTCCAGTGGCATCCAGCTTGTTCTGTTGCGGGTCTTTGCACATATCCAAATACCACCTTGCCCGCTTGCGTTCTTGGGAAAATGGCATGCTCCGCAAGGTTCTCCGGCTACGGCTGCGACCTGATGAAGGGTATATGTCCTATAACTCCCGCACATCACGCATGATCCAAGATTGGTTTGTTCAGCACGGCCACGCCCCTATTCACCACAAGGTTTTGCGAGCCATCTTCGACGAAGCGTGGCGGGAGCGACAGTTTACTTCGCCCAGCGGGGTGACTTATCTGGCTTTGTCAAGGGCTTACCGCGACCGTCTCTTTTGGGAAGGAATCAAGGACTTCAAGACGCAGCGCCGGGCAGAGGGCATCGTGCATGCAGGATTCGGCCACAGGCGCGAGTGGGAGGATATCTTTTGCGATGCCTTCGGGACAGACTGGCGTTCGAGACGCGACAGGTGTGATTCGTACGAGTCTTGGAATAAACATTTTGACGAATTCAAAGCCTCACTTTGTACGCAATGGCAGCTTCCCAACCGTGGCCGAGGTGCACAGGACGTTCACGTAGACATCCCGGTCGGCCCCAACAAGCGGAACAAGACTCCCCATCGTACTTTTGATGGGTGTCCGGATCAGCACGGGAACGAACAGCCCGACATTGAGTTCCACCGTTTTTGCAATTGTTTCGTATTCGTAGTAGACTGCAACCCTCTAGCAGAAGTGACGTGCGGGCACGTGCCGCTGAATGCACCTGGGCTCACACCGGTGTTTGAAAGGATCACCGGGCAGATCTTTAAGTTGATCGATGCTGGATGGTCCCCGGCGTCAGAGACAGGGGATCCCATCTTATGGCACCGTCGCGAGAACAATCGCATCGCCGACTTTCTTGTAAATCACACCATGGATGTAGGGACCAGCTGGCGGAAAGACGCCCCGCCAACTCTAAGAGATTGTAGTGTTCTTGAAGCAAATTTCATCATTCATTCCGACGGGGGGGCACGCGCAGGTTCCTGCTCAGCTGCGGCCTGGTATGCCGAAGCAGCTGTATGGCGTGATGGCCATCGCCATATTTTCCCTATCGCTATGAGTGGAACTTACATGAGCCCGCCTGTTTCTTCCTTCGCAGCGGAAGCCATGGCCTTAGAGGACGCAGTCTGCTCGATATCCCGGCTGATACATCAGAATACCATTGTAAAGCGCGACAGAGTTCAGCACAATTTCTTATCTTCATAACATTTGCGTGGTGGCCTGTCACGGTGTGGCTAGAGGCGTCCGAAAGAAAAGAAAGAGGCCCTCCAGAGGCACCCAAGACGCTCCAAAAGGCATCGGCGAGAATGCCAAAATCATTGATTTGACTCAGGTCTTGGCCACATTTCGGCCTCCTGGGGGGGGGGGGGGGGGGGGGCACTGCTTAAGATGACTCCAAGAGCTCCCAAAATGACCTCCAAGATGGCTCCCACGCTCCCAAGAGGCCCCAAGACCGTTCCAAGACGGCTCCAAGTGGTTAAAGAGCTCCCCCAGGAGGCCCCGAAGAGGCCAAAATCCTTCCAAAAACTTAGGAAAATCAAAGTTTTTGGCTTTCTCGCCTTTTCGCTTCCGATGGCCATCCGAGGTTTCAAGATGGCTCCAAGATGGCCCAAGAGGGCTCCAAGAGCGCTCCCAAGGCTCCCAAGAGCGCTTCAACAGGGCCCCAAGAGGCGCCCAGGAGGCCCCACGAGGCCCCAACAGGCGCCCAAGAGGCCTCCAAGAGGCTCCCAAGAGACCCCCAAGAGACCCACAGAAGCTCTCCGAGGCAACCCAAGACGCTCTAAGAGGCGTCCGGGACCGCCGAGAGGCCCCCAAGACGCTCCAAGAGGCATCCACTGGGGGACCCTTCCTCTGTGTGCTGCCTACTTCCCTGATCGAGGCAATTCCTCTGGGCATCTTTTCTGGATGGGCTGGTGGGGTTATTTTTTTTTTAACAGCCGCGGGCGGCAGCGCCAGCGGCGGCGGGTAACGGTCGGGCTGCGGCCGCTACAAATTGGCCGGGGGCGCGCGCGTGCCGCGGCCGGCGCCGGGCGGCGGGCGCAAGGGTGCAGCTGCCCAGGGAGTCCGATGGCGAAACCAGCACCCAGGGAGACGTAATTACGCTGCCAAAGTGGCGCGATGCAAGACCCCCACCGTGTCAGAGGCTACAGAACAAATGCGGTCTGAGACACTAATTGAACAGGAGGAAGTCCCCAACCTCGGCGGGAATAAAGTGCGAGGGGATCCAGGGGACCTGCCATGCACAAGCATCAACCGAAAGACACACGAGCAGTCGTCAGTCGGCATCCCGTACGAAAGGCTAGGCCCTGACAGCGCCAGCGAACCGTCGCAGCTTCAGAGTACGCACCCACACAGCCCAAAGGCGTGGAGTTCGTGGTGTCAAACCGAACCAAGCACGCCAGGCCCAGGAGACAGCCGCGAATGGATGCGAACGCAAGCGACCATCAAATGGCATGATGTAACGCTATACGGAAGGTACAACAGTCCCAATCCACTACCGGCCACAAATCGCAAGCGACGCCAACCGAATTAGAACAGGGACGTGAACCAGGGAGCAACTAACGTGACCAGCACAACCGGAGCCGCCTAACCAAAGTACCCTGGCGCACTGGAGTGGAGTAGACGAAGGCGCTCGAGGAGCAGTGCTGCCTCTTACCAGCTGCTGCCCAAGCAACAGCCAGTGGTCACGAAGAAGCCCAGGGAGTTGACCGCTCGCCCGGGTGGAGCTGGGGAGCGACGGTGGGATGATGCCAGCCAAGGCAACCGTAACTGGCGGCCAGCAGAGGAACAGCGAACCACTGCACAGATGCGGGATCAGTCTTCTGACCACCCGCTGCCACACTTTGGCCGGCGCGCGCAGGTGGGTGCGCAACTGGCCCCTGCGTCCGGGCGCGGCAAAGTCCTTCGGGCGGGCATCCCAAGTCATCGTCACCGGAGGGGTACCTCAACGGCACCAGAAGTGCACCGTCTGGTTTTCGTTGAAGACCCGCTGTCGGGAAGCCACCCGCCCACGCACAGTCGTTCCCAGGGGAGCG